AGCCATCCATGAATAACCACTTTCTGAGGCGTGAAACTGGGCAGCCATGGTTGGAAGGGCCGTTGAAACGATCGTCTAGACAAGTCAGTCTGGACTCCTGGGAATAATCAATAAGAGTGGGAGCCACGTACCATATCCAGAGCGGCCAGAAACAACACCAACTAGACATCGTCAGCATAGTTCTATGGCAGCGGTCAAATACCTATAGAGGATGCATACACAAAGCGCAGGCATGATAATCAGAATCTTCTTCTTCCCCAACTTCTGCGCCTGAGAGTGCGTCCGGTCCAACGGCGCGCCATCTTTCTCAACGTCATTCCCGGCTGATTTCTCATGGGACGGATGATCTGAGTTGGTGACAGGCAGTTGATCATTCCCAATGGACGGAGGCGTCGTGGTGGCGGACATTTCCGAGCTGTCCTCCTCGGAGCGAAAGATTTTGTCCGTCATCATTAAGCTTTTGTTGTTATCGTCGTTGTAGTCGTCATCTCTTTTCTCGTTCACTGACATGATCTGAGAGGAATAAACGAGAAAACAAAGAGCCGAGAAAAAGGAATCTGACGATTATCTACTCCAGTCGCCCCAACTTGGCAGCGGGGAAAGCAAGAGAATACGAGGCAGTCGAAAAAGTTTCGGGTAAAGCCGACAGCTTAAAAAATATCGAAGAGAAGGATTGAATTGATCGTCGATCGACACGACCACAAACTGCCAACAAGGATGTCTTCAGCGAAAGATAAGTTTAGAGATTAGATCAAGATGAAAGAAGAAGAAACCGGAGTCACTCGCAGTCTTAAGTGCTGTCGAGTCTTGAACCCTTTGAAGAAGTCAACCGGAAGTGTAGACTGCCGGCGTTAACAGCCTTATGCGAGCCCGAGTCCGAAGCGAAGGCCGAGTACGAGTCCATCACCAACGCCCTAGGACATGTTCCCCTTTCATGATGGCCATTGAGTCATACTCGGATGTCGAAACAGACGCGGTCTTTTTGATGATACGAACAGTGGGAAAATAACAATTGGCCAAAAGAATGTGGATAATTCACACTACATGGAGTTTGGGATATCATTCACATGTCTGTTAACAATTGACCTGCGATGCTTTTCGCAATGGGGCTAGGGAAAAGGCTTTGGAGTAGATGAAGGTCTGAGGACTTGATAGAATAATTTATTCTCCGAGCTCTTTACTTTTTTGTTATTTTCCTCTAGCTTTATATGCAATGTCTAATATCAAGCATTCCTTGGCACGGGAGTACAGCATCAATGAGACAACCATTGAGATCGTGACGAGCTGTGTTATGGCTTCAATGATTTATTCAGGGGTATAATGTATGTTGGGGGGGAAAAGAAGCATAAAAAGTACAAGTCAAGAACACATTGAAAATGCAAAATAATCATGTACACACAATGCACAATCCACCCATCCCTCTCTAGTCCTGTAACTGTAAGATCTCTACACGACATCGCGTCATTCAGTCAGTCAATCAGTCAATCAGACCTGATAGCGTTCAAGAGCTAACTTACCAGTCAAAAACTCCTCAAAGCTCAAAGTGATATACCCGTCCCGATCCTCGTCATACCGCTTGAACACGTCCGTCATTCGTCTGAGACTGATACACGCCTGCACAAACAGATCGAAGCTCATCCCATCCTTGGCCGGCCCCATTGCATGGCCCCCGTTTATTTGTTGTTTTTTGCTCTCAAACGTGGTAAAGAGCACCGTGACAAATGGCTGGCTGAGCCTATACCCGAATGCAACCAGCGCTTTCTCAAACTCCTGCAGACTGATGCGCCCACTGCGATCCTCGTCAAACCGGTCAAAGAGCTCCCGCCAGGCCGCTAGAAACCGCCACAGTGCCACGAATTCGTCGAACGAGATGGTCCCGCTGCTGTTCCGGTCGAACATGCGGATCATCATCTTGACGGTTTTGGGATGGAAAGAGGTATAGTCGCCGTTTACGAGGGCGGATCCGAGCTCCATCTCGGTCAGGGCGCCCGAGTGCGAGGCATTGGCAGCGCGAAAGAGTGGGAAGAGCTGCTGGGGGTCATCGTGCGGGGCGGACAAAGGAGGTGGATGGGGCGATTGAGGGGGACGCGAGACTGGGGAAGGGCGATTGCGTACGGGCTGCGAGGGAGGGGGCCCGAAGCCGTAGTTTTGGGGTGGAGGCGAGGGGTGGAGGGGATGCGGACGCGCATGGCTATGGCTTGCGGGAGGCGGCCCGGTCGCGGGTAGGGGTTTGTTGATCTGAGCGTTCGTGACGGGGACTCGCTGGGGGGCGCCGCTGGGCGGAGCATGAGACGATGTTCGAGGAGGTCGCTGAGCCTGCGGTTGTGAGGATACTTGCATCGCGCCGATCAACTGGGCGACCTGCTGCTTGTCAGTCGCGGGTGTGGGACATCTGCCTGTCGGAAGTTGTTCGTACTTGTTCTGGTTCAGCATGCCTGCCCTCCTCGGTCAGTCAGACACAAGAGTCACCTCATCATTACAAACACTTACGCTGGCAGCGCATCGGGGTTGTAGGACTTGTTGTAAGCCATGGTAGCCTGGCGTAAAAGCGGGCGGGCACAGTGAGTGACACGAAGGAGAGGGCTCCTATCTAAAAAGACGGGGGAGGATTCAAGACATCCACAATTTCATAAGGAGGATAAATGAGGAAGATGAAGTAGATAGGCGGAAGGTGATTCAGGAGTACGCAGTAAGTTCAGGTGCGACTTGACTATCTTTTAGCTCTGTCGTCGTACCCGTACAGCAAAGGTGAAAGCGGAGCCGTGGGGCAATCTTTTTTGAGTCCGTCAATATGCCAAGGTATAATAAGCAAAACGACAGATTTAAGGGATATGATTTTATCATTGGGTATCTAGAAGACGACCTCTGAGAGTATGTTATCTAAGCTCGTCCTGAGTTTCTAATGTATTTCCAGTAACAAATAACCAGCCAACATGGGTTGTTTTCCCTCCTCGGACTATAAGATGTTCAGCCCTACGAGTTCTGGTGATGGTAACGGCCCACCAGTCCTATGTAACTTTTGCTGGCCGATATCAGGGTGGATCCTCTATTTTGCAGGCAGATAGCCATATATTGACACCTTCATTACGATTTCTGGATCAATTCTGCGACCTCTGGAGCCGAGTGCCGAAGAACTTGAAAGATTTCCTCAAACGCTTTGGCTTGAAGTTGTTTGCCCTCCTCCCCCGTGGTCAAAGCAGCCGACTCACTGTTATCTATTAGCATAGTACAAAGGGACAAAGATTGGCCGGATGCTTACTCCACGTAGCCATCATTTCTCAAGCACTTCCCATGTGTCTCAAGTCCTTGATGAGTTGCACTGACCAGAGACCGGCTCCCCTGTTCCGCAGTGCGAGCAAAGAGCTTATATATTAACCACATCATCCATCGCTCGTAGAATCGGTCGTACTGCCGTCCCAGAGAGGACGCACAGAACCCAGGACTGACAGTGTTTATGATCACTGGGACCGAACCATTCCCCTCACGCGCGTGAAGCGCGACGGTCTTGAGGACATATTCCATCAGGAGCTTCGAGATCCGGTATTGCTGGGGTCCATTAAAGCGCTGTGGGTCATTGAGATGTTCCAGCAGTGAGCCTTCAGTCCGGAGGCTGTCCGCTTTTACTTTGGTATACAATTTGCTTGATACCACACTCAAGTGACTGGGGCTTTCGGGTGACGAGCTACTCCGGAGTTTGGGAAGAAGCAAAATTGCCAGCAACGAAGTGGACAGTGTGTTGACCTGCAGCGTCTCCTCCCATCCATCAGGAGATGCTGTATAACTTCGATTCCACAATCCCGCATTGAGCAATACAACGTCCAGCCGTTCGATCTCTCTGTTGACGCGAGCTGCGAAATCCTTGACGCTTTGGAAACTGCTCATGTCCAATTCCCAGACGTGGATTACCCCCGGTCTGTTGGTGCGCAGCTCCAGCTCAGCCTTAGTCGCTTGTCCTCGCTCCAGGTTGCGACTGCCAACAATAAGAAAGTCCACACCGAGATTGAGCAGTTTGATGGCGGCCTCGAACCCGAGTCCAGAGGTTGCCCCAGTCAGGATCACTGTTTTGCCTGCAAAGGAGATTCCGGTCGAGCTTTCTGGAGACTCCATTTGCAGAACGCGAAAAAAAGGCAAACCGTAATGATGATAGAGACTGTAATAAAACAGGAGTATGTAGCTGACGTTGGCGTACGAAAATCATATATTGGTCTGAGATAGGAAAAGCAACAATGAGCTACATGACCTTATACAGCAGGTAAACCTGGGCAAACTCTTGACAACAAAGGTGCTTCAGCAAGAAGATTTGCGGGTAGATAGAGCTATATTATCAGTTCAACGCTCAAACTTGTCATGGGGAGCTGGAAGGGAGAAAAAAATAAAAAATAAAAAAATAAAAAATAAAAATAAAGAAATAAACAAATAAAATTGACGAAGAAAATGGCCAATTCAATTCTTGTAGCAATTTATACTTACCTGGTATAAGAGATAGAGCAGTCTGTATTCTCCTAAATCTGCAGAACAAGCCATGAATGTGATTTCCATCCAATTCGGGGCTGGCATACCACTAGCAGTGTACACAAATAATGGCCTTGGAGAGATGCAAAAGCGCTCCTTGGATATACCGGTAGTCTCTCCAAGAGTAGCTCTATCTAGAGCGCTTCTGGTTGAATATTGACTGGATTTATTGAATTTAGAGTGAGGGGAAACAAACACTGCAAACACTGAGCGCGTCTTGTATAATCTGGCATTAAACTGTCGCCATTCTATCGACATCTTAGTCCAACATACCTTTCTTTTGTGGACTACTTAGTACGTTACTGAGATCACCAGGAAAAATAAATTGCCTTCAAGTGGGTTTGTTTTGATCGCTCGCCAGGACTTTCTGTGCCGTGTGTGATCAGATGCCTGGGTCATCGGCTTAGGTATCATCCTTTTTACCGAACTTCATCTATAGAAGAGGGTTGGACATCGTTCGGGCTGCTCTGACAAGGGACTCAGCAGATATGACCACTCCAGAAACGACTCAAAGTCCACCAGCGGGCCGAACATGGCGCAACTACTTTCCTGACGGTGACCTTTGGGTATTTGGCTATGGGTAAGTCACGCTCCTTGCCGGTCCAATCCAATTGCGTGTCTTCGTTGACCTTTAAGGCTGACTTGTCGTAAAGGAGTCTCATTTGGAAACCACCACCACACTATGGTGTGTATCATCTGTCAAACCATACATGGTCTTTGCATCTAATTCTAGCACAGACCAACGAATCCCAGGCTATATCGACGGCTATGTCCGACGCTTCTGGCAGGTTTGTACTTCACCAGATGCGCCCATTCTCTAGTCGTCTCTGACTTTCCCTAGGCCAGGTACACACTCCCAAAATTCGGCTATTGCCAAGATGTCGCTGATCAATCATAGCACCGACCATCGCGGCACCCCGGAAGCCCCAGGTCGTGTGGTAACAGTCATAGAACGGGGGTTCTGGGAAACCCTAGATGACCCGGTAAGTCGCTTCCTCACGCTTACCTAAAATCTGTCTCTAACCGAACAGCACGCACATCTTGAATCCTCAACAGCCCGCGTCTGGGGCGCAGCATACCACATCCCCGCCTCCCATGCCGAGGAAGTCCACGACTACCTCGACGACCGGGAAATAGACGGCTACACCGTCCACTACACCCCCTTTCATCCCATATCTACCGTCTCCGCATCCACCGTCTCCAAGGGTCCCGGGACGGAGGCGGCGCCACAGACGCAGCCGCCTTCGCAGGCGCACGCCGCACCAATCATCTGCATGGTATATATCGGGCAGCCTACCAATCCGCAATTCCTGCGCGACCCGGCTCGCCGCGAACCGCAGGATGTCGCGGAGGTGATTAGCTGCGGGCGGGGTCAGAGCGGGAAGAACACCGAGTATCTGTACCTGCTTGAGAAAGCGTTGGAGGGGCTAGGGCTCGGCAGTGCCGATATGCATGTCACTGATCTGGTGCGACGCGTCAAGGCGATCGAGAATACTGAGGAATCGACAGCCGAAGAGGCGGCTGCGGAAAGAGATGTGAAGCAATCCCTCGAAGCGTCTTGGGCGGAGGCGCATAGGCAGCCCTCGAAGATCGAATAGTGTGCAGGCTTATGTACAGATGACGGCTATGCATGATGATTAGATAGAATAGACGGTATGCATTGCACATATACATGTACATGGCAGTTCCATCTCTCTTTCAAAGTGATTGTATGATGTCAATGGCGAGAATATAGTCACTCGCCGTAATCGACGCCGGCCCACAATGTCCTATTCATCATACCTCCAGCTTGAACGACTAACGAATCATGTACCAAATCGGGATAGACATCGATATACCTAGTCTCGATGATAGACATTCCAAAGATGGGATAGGCATGCTCTAGATGCGAACACGGTGCTCATGCTATGGTTTTCAGAGTGTCTCTTACCCACCTTGACAAGGCCATTGATGCCCTACAAAAGCAAAGGATTTCCCATCCAAATCCAGATGCACCTTTGGGACCCAAAACCGGTCCAGGACTTCTGGTCCTCCTCGCTTAGACTGTCACAATAATCCGCTTTATCCAATAGAATTGGCTTTATCAAGTCCGTGGAAAGATGGGACAATTGACCCGAAATCTAGCACGGGAATCTGCAAATGACTCAGGTATTCAGTCTCGTTGACTTGTAGTACTCCTCACTCAAACAAAGTATTTCTGCCAATGATTGAATCCGACCTACTTATTAGCTTCATTACACATATCGAAACCAGTGAGGAGAATGGTCAATAATGCGCGAGGATCAACGACAGTCGGTACCTAGGACTCTCCCCAACTGCTTGGTGAGATCCAGCCAAACAAGCTGGGAGGTTAGGTACACCACGAGGTGGAAGGTGCGTCACACATATTGCGGTGCCTATAGATGTGATGCTAAAGGCTAGCAACGGCCCATAGCCCTACTGAAGCTCTGCTGGACCCTACACTCGACCACCTTCGGGTGGGATTTGGGTTTTCTCCTGCATGAAATATATCCGTCATTGAATCGCAAGGAGGGAAGAAGAAAAAGGAGGAGAAGAAAGGAACAAGGTTCGGAAGCATAAAATAATGAAGATAGTATCATAATACACAGTTCTACTGATATATATCAAAATCAGCGATGATGCTCACTAACAGTTACCGATCAGTACCAACAATCGTTTCTACCAAGCAAGCTGATGTGAAGCGGTACCAAGCGACAATCAATATAACCTATTCTGCCGCCAAAAATCCCTGGGTATATCAATTAAACCTAGTTCCATGCTACATCGCTTCACGGCCCGGACATCCGATGCCCGCTCCATCGTCTCATGCGAGGATAGAACGCCATGCGACGGATATGGTGCAGCGTCCCATGGACAATATAGTGATGCTTTATCCGCCAGGACTCGACTTGGGAGGACGCTTTGAAACACCGGGTAGTCTTCGAAACTGTCAGCACCCAGAGGAATCCGCATTGCATAGTCCGACACACATTCCAAAGTATCTTCCTCTGGATGCGTGATCGCGTCATGTGCTGCCGCACCGAGTGCCTGTGTGGCAAAGTAATCATAGATACCATCATGAAGTTGAGGTTCCTCAGCAAAGAACATGACCATGTGGTCATCAACTTTATCCCTTCCTGCTCCTGAAGCGAGCTGGAGGTCGGCCTCTTGTTCAAACGGTCCGGCTTGAAATACCGCGGAGAAGAAGCGCTCATCTTGGGCTTTGGTAGGATGCTCGGGGCATTTCCACGTATCGGAGCAGGAGTCAAATTCTTCCTTCGCGCCAGCGTTGCTCGATTTACCCAGCGTCGTCTGCTTGCGTCTCGCTAGAGGTGTATTAGATGTGTGGTGAAAATCTGGCTCGTTGTTGAGACCCTTATCAAGGTGCCCTGGAAAGATAAACTTCGTATCAAGGCTTGCGTTATCCTCAACGAAACTATTTCCCATCTTTTCCAATAGCACCATTTGTTTGCGTTCCTTTAAATGGTCTTCATCAGCGTCCTCCACGTCATAGATAGAGCTTGCTTTGCGACTGTTGCGTCTGCTACCTGAGAGTGAACTCTCTGACACAACCTGGACCCCCGTCTCTTGTTGCCGAAACTTCTCTCGCTCCTCTAGCAGGAGCTTCAGGTCCTCCAAGCTCCAGTACTCTCTGCCTGAATGGGTAGACTCTTCTTTGTCCTTGTCTTGTGAGCTCAAATCAAAATGTAGAAGCTGTTTCATGTAAAATTTTGACCAGCTTTCAAACAAGAATGTGGCATGTTCATTGCATGAAATACTGATAGGTGTTGATGACAGAGGGGCTTCGTACCCTTGAAAATCAGGATGGTACGCCCCGGAGTGCTTACACTGATCAGCTGGAGATTGAACGGCAACAGCAGCATGCCTCTTCGCTGCAGTGTTGCGCACGCTGCAGTCTGCTGGGGATTGTGGCTGTAAGTTTGATGAATGCAACGAGGTACCGCTTGCCTCCATCTCAAAACCCTGCATGCGAGCCTCATCTTCGAGTGAGCCCAGTGGAAAGTTCGAAATGAGTAGTTGAGAATCCTCGGGATTTGCTCGGGTCTTCCTGTTTTTGTTCGGACTCTGATGGCTTGTGCATTTTTCGCTATCGCTCCGTAAATTTTTGCTCAAGAATCTTATCTCTGAGAACCCCTTCTCAGGCACTCGACCTCGGTTTACCAGCTTGCGAATGCTGGAGAAATGGGGAAAATTTCGAAGCTCGCCGACTTTCACTGGTGATGAGGTTTTCCCTCTTCTGAAGATACCCAGACCTAGGTGCGAATGCAGCTGTTCAAACTGTCAGCAATGGCTGCCTTGATTACTGAAGTACAATGCATACTGTCAATCGATCTCGTGGGACATTGGAAGCATGGAAATTGTCATTGATCGTACGTCTTCTAACTTGCTTTAATGACTTTTTCGCTTTTATCGGCGATTGCTTCCGTTGTATTCGAGACGTTGAGCCCTTGTACTCGTAACGATCTTCCTTGGGTTTATTTCGTGGTTTGCGTTCGTATCCACCTTTGCTTCCCTTGGTGGGAATTGTCATTTTCTCAGTAGGATGCCTTACAGGATAAGGCGACCATCTGATACGGTTCACGGGAGGGGAACGCTGAGCGAAAGAGCTTCCTTCGCGTAGGGCCCTACTTGGTGGAGTTGAAACAGAATGCATAGGAAGCCCACTGCTGTGGCATAGCTGGCTCTTCGTTCGAGTCGCTTGTTCAATGATAAACAGAATCCGTCAGCCAAAAAAGGTCCCTACAGAACCACATGTGGGGATGATCGGATAAGAAATCACCTTCTGTAGGATCCGAGGCATGATGGTTTGTATAAGTCGTCGGCGAGTTCTCCCGTTCGAGAAGCCATTTGAAAATCAATTCCTGGGCATCTGGTGCCAGGTGACCATGCTTTCGCGAGGATTGCTGCATGGATATAGTTGTGCTCGGATTAAGGCTGCTCGTTGCGCTGAGCTTGTTGCCAGTAGGATCATGTCGGCTGGCAAGCCGTTCTTCCTGGAGTTGACACCATCGGTGACGGATGATTGTCTATGCATCAATTCCATAACGGGAAATCATGACTCAGACAGCAGCTTCCTTGCCAGCTGTCTTGGGCCATCCAGGTATCAAAGAAGCATCTGTGAGCTTCAGTCATGGCAAAAAATGTCAACAAACTGACCTCATCACATTGAGATCCAGACAAGACATGACACTCTTCTTATGCAACTAGAGAGGTACATAATCTGATAAAGCTAATCTATCTATGGAGTACTAAGCTAAGGTGGGTTCTAAGCGTCTCGCTTATATTTCTAATCAAGGCATGAGCCTAGATAAGTTGATAACACCACATGTGGATCAAATTCTCCACCACTATCAATTCTGCCCCTCCTCTCCAAACTTTCGTTGTTTGGCCTCTTCCTAAGTGATATAAAGTGGTCGGTCGGATCGAGATCAGTTTCAATACTAGCGCGAGGAGGGGGCAAAAGGGAGCAGTTAAATTATCGAATCACTTGCCCTAATGGGAGTGTCTGGCTCTTCTTGGCATCCGTGTCAACTGCAAGCTGACCAACCAAAACAACCATCTACCGGCTCACAGTCGTTGAGAGATAGCTATGCGATGTGACTGACAATCTTGCGTGCTCGTTATTGCTAGACTTACACGGTTTAGACTAGGCATAGCTTTTCAGTAAAATAATCAAACAATGGAGATCTTCTCGAAATTTTATTTTCCCACTTTCCCCCTCCCCTATCCCTTTTTCTTTTCCCTTTTTTTTTTTTTTTTTTTTTTCTGCCTTTCCTTTTTTGAATTTTTCTTTTTGTTTTTCTCTTTCCCAACGGTGGTACCAAGTTTCACTGATTTCCAAGACTCCACAATTCAACAAGCAATTCACTACGCCTTCATACTGTATCATACGGCGTCACGTTCTAGGATGAGAAATAGCGCCATACTAGGAGATACTACCTTCTGCAGAAGTGTACATAGACAGGGATGGACAAACTCCGACTAATGTAGTTGATATGCGAGGTACAGGGTGAAAATACCACCCATGGTACGATAAATGGTGGACTAAAAGTATCTTCTCAAAATCAAAACTCTCCCACCCCCAGAACCCCGTTCGAGTCACCGACTCTTTTCAAGCACAGATTTCTTGACTATCTGGAGTAGATTCAGGCTTCTGCCTGCTCCAGCCTTTCCAGTTCCCACTGCAGGTGGGCTGCTGACTTCCCAATGAGGAGGACGGAGGTGCGCATCAGCTCTCAGGTCAGTAGTGGCCATACTCTAGCGTCCTTAGACTGTTCCCTTTTACGCTTGTCATGCATTAATAGAATAATAGTAATATAATGACTCCCGCTTATCAATTTATAATTCCTATGCAGAAATAATAATAATTTTGCCGAGTACCATAGTAGCTAGTAGGAGTAGTAATCAGTAACCCCCGCTTTGCAACTTTGCTACACCTCCTCCAGTCCTCCCTTTCATTCTCCCACTTCACAGGTTCTGCACAGCTAATCCACTGCTCTTCTTGTCTTATCAAACTGTAAGACCACCTTTCCTCTCATCTAAATCATCTGTGATATTGACTCTTGCCGCCTTTCAGCAACAAAAAGTTTCTACTGTGAGTGTTCCTTGTCTTGCTGAATGCTCTGTTTGTTTCACAGAGCAGCGACATCCTCAGGCACAGCCGCAGTGAGATTACCTGTGAAAAAATTTCTTTCAGAAAGGGGAGAAATTTTCTGCTCCTGATTTCTTCCCCTCCTCTTCATCTTTTTTCATCCACGTATTTCGATCGCCTTTGACACTGTATCTCAGTACTAATTCAACTAAACAGTTCCATTCATCAACCTTCGACATGTCTAAGCTTTTCATCGGGTGTGTTTTCATTCTACGTCAAATCTTCAACGCATTTTCTCAAGTAACGGTTTAATAGCGGCCTTGCATGGCACACCACTGATGACGCCCTTCGTCAGGGTTTCGAGCGCTTCGGCCAGGTTGAAGAAGCTGTTAGTAGTACCATTTCCCTCTTTTTGTTCACTTTCACGTCATCTTTTTTATTGCTACTGCTTTACCATACCATACTAATGACTTTTTCACAACACGCAGATTGTTGTCAAGGATCGTGACACCAACCGCAGCCGTGGTTTCGGTTTTGTCCGTTTCAGCAACGATTCCGAGGCTGATACTGCCATGGAGAATATGAACAACCAGGAGTAAGCTTTCCCAAATCTCTTCAGGTCCTAGATTGTACCAGAGTGCCCAAATTATATTCTATTGAGCCGTATCTCTCATCGCAGAAGCACTAACAAATGACGCATATAGGTTCGATGGACGCACCATTCGTGTTGACAAGGCCTCCGAGCGCGCTCCCCGTAACAACGGTGGTTTCCACGGCCGTGGTGGCTACAACCAGTCCGAGGGTGCTCCCGGTGGTATGTGCTAAAATCAAATTGTTCAACGAATCTCTATCCTGACAAGTCTTACAGGTGGCCAACGTTATGGAGGAGGCCAGGGTTACGGCGGTGGCAGTGAGTAGAACCAGTTGCTCTTCTTCCGAATAATCCCTAATTTTCCTGCAGGCTGGCGTCCCTCGAGTAACGGACAATCCGCTGCTTAAATACCTCAGTCGAAAATACCTAGCTCGTTTCTCTCCGTACCTTTTCCGCCAGATAAGTTATGAGATACGATTATGAAAATGATCATGCCGGGCTCTTTATCGCATTTCTTGAGCGTGGAATGACGCACAAGTTCATGATGGAATTTATTAGTGCTTTTTGCTTGTCTCTCAGTTTCGCTCCATCTCGCCTATCGAGATAATTAAGATTGGTTGACGGCCATTGCATGGCGACATACTTTTCCGACTTTTCTTCTAAGATTCCTTATAGACTAAAAATTCAAATTCAAGCACTCCCCTTAGACTTCATTGATGTATTGACCGTGTTCCATTCTTCATCGAAGCGGTCATATGTATATTCGGCCATTGGGACGGTTAGCAACCTACAGGAGCGTCCATACGATCACCGGAATATGCTCCACTCTCCGAACCTCGCGAGTTGGTCAAATAGGTAAATAGTTTGATTGGGTATAAAAGGAAACTTGGTAGTGTGCCTCTAACTATATTTACATAAGTACTGTGCCCAAGTTCGGAAAGCAGCTCAGCGGACAAGATCGCTAACTCCTCCTACGCCGCAAGGTAAAGCTTTCTCGTTTTTGAATGTAACCAAAGAGCCGCCATCGCAGGGTGATGGGACAACCTCCAGAGATGGAAGCTGCTGCTGCTCTTCGCGGAGCTGCCCGAAGGGACCGAGAGTATCACGACATTGCGTCTCGATGCATGGTACGACCGCAACTGCAGATCGAATTGCGATGATGAATTGCCTTTGTCCAGACGCTCACAGTGGGGATAAAGCCTCGAGGACACCGGCTCCCCTGAAGGCTGCCTTGTTGGTCATGACGACTTCGACTGGGTATTTCCATTCCATAAAGCGAGTCCAGCCTACATCACTCACATCAGTCCTGTTTGCAAGTTGCGGAAATCAAGGGGCATACCCCAATAAGCGCATCTCCTTCCCAGATACTTTCCGATAAACGGGACGATGACCATGGTCAATAGTAACTCCAACTGCTCAATGCTTTCTCTCCATTCCTCTTCGGCATCCGAGTAGTCGTCTGAAAGTGTGTCTAGATCTGAAGCGGTGGTAGACTCAGATGGAAGGGACGCAATTTCATCGTCTGAGCCAGATGTGTACCTGTCTACCGAAGACACCATGTAGGCAGACGTAGCGAGGGACGGGTTAGAGGCAGAGGGTGAGGAGTACGACATGGTGAAATTGACTTAGGTTGGGGAAACCGGACCGGTCAGTGAGCGAAGTAAAACTCCGATAATGAGATCAAGCAGCGGCCTGCCTACTGCCTGAACAAGGATTGCAGCATGAAGTGTTACCGACCGATAGAGATATTCAAGCTCGGAACCCCAATACTTGCGAGGCATCTGGACACAGGCCTGATGTAATCCAGGAGAGCCAAGTCACGTGCGTATCTTACGGCAATACGAGAGCACAGCAATTTGACTCACAGTCACGTGAGGCTGTACCGCGATAACAGAATTGCCATCGCGAACTCAAAGATATGGCTCTACCAATATATCGACCTTTCGTCAGGCTGCTTAGAAGCATAGTCTTTACTGCTAAATAACATTCTTCCTGACTGTTATCATATTTGGAAGTGCCTACTGCTGCAAGAAAGAAATATACAATATGGCGGATGCTGTACGTCACACCCTGTTTTCCCTTTACCGATTCTGCCCTCCCACATTTTCTTTAATGCGGACATCTTCACATTTCATGCCCCCTCCCCAATCGGCCTAATCACACTTACGTTGCCGCCTCACCTTCACTTGAAACGTTCAGCTGTTCAGCTGTGTTAGGCAGTGAACAATCACTAGACTCTGTTTTCTGAGGGATATCGTCTCTGTTAATTTATTTCCACCTTGCTAACCTGTCATCGGGTGCATTAGCAGGTCGAGCCCACTCCTCAAAAGCAGCGCAAATCCGTTGCCTTCAGTGAAGGTGCAGTCATCATGGACACAAACGGCGAAGTCACAGAGGCTCCCGCTCCTCAAATCACCACAGCTGAGAATGAAGCTGGTATGCTTTCACCTTTTGCTCACACCCGCGGTCGCAAGCGAAACTGACTTTAAGCAGGCACAGCAGACACGGCAGTCGACGAAGTAACTGAACTCTTCAAGGGCCTCTCGAAAAAGAAGAAGACGAAGAAGCCCAAGGACGCTGAGGCCGGTGAAGGCGACGAGGCCGCTGGCGCCGCTGATGGCGAATTCGACCCCACCGCCCTGAAAAAGAAGAAGAAGAAGGTCAAGAAGGTCGACGCGGGTGACTTCGAGGCCAAGCTCGCCGAAGCTGGTATCTCAGAGAAGGCCGCTGCCGAGGAGAAGGAGGGCGAGTTGCCCGAGGGCGATCTCGAAGCCGGCACCGGTATCTGGGCCCACGACGCTACCCAGGCCATCCCGTACTCGCTCCTCGTCTCCCGATTCTTCTCCCTCATCCAGAGCCACCACCCCGACCTGCTGTCCAGCGGCACCAAGTCGTATAAGATTCCTCCTCCTCAGTGTCTGCGTGAAGGTAACCGTCGTACCATCTTCGCAAACATCGCCGATATCTGCAAGCGTATGAAGCGTTCGGACGACCACGTCATGCAATTCTTGTTCGCCGAATTGGGTACCAGCGGCAGTGTCGACGGTAGCAGGCGTCTGGTCATCAAGGGTCGTTTCCAGCAGAAGCAGATTGAGAACGTCTTGAGAAGATATATCGGTATGTTACTTTTCGCCCCTCTTGTAACTGAACACAGTAGCTGACAATCTCCAGTCGAATATGTTACCTGCAAAACCTGCCGCAGCCCCGATACCGAACTCAACAAGGGTGAAAACCGTCTGTACTTCGTTACCTGCAACTCCTGCGGTTCGCGTCGTTCGGTCGCCGCCATCAAGACCGGTTTCCGTGGACAGGTCGGCCGCAGAAAGAGACAAGGCTAAACGATGTTATGGCTGGGTGGGGGATCTATATGGAGCCAGCTGTGGGAAGATACTTTTCTTTTATTTTTTCCTGTTTATTTCCCCCATGTTCGTATAAACGTTCCTCTTCTATGTGGATGATGATGATGCAAAAGGATCGAGAATGTGATGTCGTGAGTTATGCAGGATTTGGAAAAATAGAGACGTGCAGACCAGAAGTAACGTCCGCGTGTCCGGGAACCACTTTATTCTCACTTTGTAAGGCCTATCCGTAATCGGATAATGAGCTAAAAAATGCCAGTAGAGGTGAATCAAGATAAAAAAGCATTCGCTCCAGGAATCACAACGCCAAACATGAGAATTTACAGAAAATGAGAGTGTAGAAGCTCCTGCTCCTGTCCATCCATCTAGCGCCATACTCTAGTTACTGGCAGTATGCGCTCCGATATGGGCGGCAAAGGCAGTGACGTTCCTCGTTTGCATGTACACGGTTCCAGGACCGGTGAAGCGGCATGCCAGGCCTTCGCCGGAGCTCATATTGGAAATGATACCTCCTGAAGCGACACGCTCCATCTTGTACTTGCAGTTCCAGGCGACGAGGTGTCCGTTATCCACGTAGTAGGATTCGCCGTCGGCGATCTGGGTAGTTTCATCGTGTCAGTGAGTCAAGAGAATCTCCAGAATAGTGGATGGTGCAAGAGTGGGCTCTAAGAAGTGAGAGGAAGAGCAGCTTACATCCTTCTTGATGATAGCGCCAAAGCTCTGGAGCCACACGAGGCCGACACCAGACAGCTTGTACACGAACAATCCCTCTCCGGAGAAGACACCCTTGGACAGCCCCTGCGCTTGGTAGTCCTTGGAGATGCCACTAGTCGCGGCCAGGAATGCGTCTTTTCCGACCTTCCACGGATCCGAGCCGGATAAGCGCAGCACAATGATATCACCTAGTGCCGAGGGCGCAAGCAGAAGCTCGCCGGGGCCGGTGTATGTGGACAATGACATCTCGCCGCCGGTAAACATCTTCTTCAGGGAGAATTTGACGCTTCCTCTTAGTGTGACCGAGTGTGACATTGCGATCATTGCTCCTGACCGTATCATGAGTCTCGTCGCTTTTCAGGTTCTGAAGAAATAGCACTTACCTGGCTTGGCTTCAATTGGACATCCTACCGCCAGCTGCAGCGTCAGAAGGGAATTTGAGTCCCGGTGGCTGATCCTGTAGCTTCCGCCATTGAATGTCCCAACATCGTCCTGGGTAGTTGAGTTCACGAACTGGCCGAACTGAGCCGGCCCGACGGATGTCGGCTGGGCTTGCACAGCCATGTTCGAAGATTGAGATGGAGTCGGCTGGTGGCTCAGCGGCTGCGGGGGAGGCGATACAGAGCTCTGTCCGTATGGATTGGTTGCATATGCGGCCGCATGTGCTTCTCCTGGCGGGGGATTTGCAGGAGTCGGTTGCTTCGGTGGCGGAGGGTAGCTGAAGTTCTGAGGTGGGAATCCTGGTGACGGCTGGGGAGGAGGTGGAAAAGCTATATAGAGCATCAATGAGACTATATTCCCAATGCAAGAAACGGTTTGTTATCATACCTCCGGAGTTTGGAGGCGCTTAATCACGGAGAGGATTAGCATGTATATTAGTCTAGTTTAGCTTTGAGTAGTACTTACGAGGATAATGGCCCTCTTGAGTCGGAGGAGGCGGGTATGAACTTGCCATGGTTTCCGTTGTTCTCCTCTTCTTCAGTAGTTTTTAACAGCTGCAGTTGAGACAACAGACGGAATGAGAAGAAATTTAAAGGAAACTGAGCACAACCTAAATATGATATCCTCGTATTCGTCAGTCGTTTCCAAACTCAATCTGTCGCCGCTCTAGCTTGAGGAAGGGACTCCTTTCAAGGACCATGCAACCTGGTTGACAGCTATATTTTTATTCGAAAGATCAACTGCGCAAACTGGTGAAATATATGAGCACGCAGCTGTGGCATCGATAGCCGCTGAGCACCTGCCATCCTGACATCTCCTTGTTCTGGTTGGACTGAAGGCTGTCGGCGCTTAGAGGAATTAGGTGGGGAGAGTTGTGATAGGATCTGCAGAAAAGCCCAATCCAGCAGGATTAGTCCATCTTAAGTTTTTTTAGCATGTGCAATCTGTATCTTCCTGTCATTGGGCCACTCGTCCTTCATTGCGGCAATCTTAATGGTGGGAGACTCTGTGCCATGACAAGAGAGATTCTAGCTGAGACTGCGGGCAATCTGGGCAGTCTGGGCGAGGGGAGGGAATGAAGTGGGGTAGATGAACAGGTGAGAATAAGAGACCATCACATTATTGTGCTGCGCTATGGCTTACAAAGTGGCTGTTGTTCTCTGAAGGAGATCAAAATAAATCATCAGGTAGATAGAAATCAAATTTCCCCTACCTATATGGATCCAGTAGCTGAAGAGTCTGTTACATTCATGGTCAAGGACATATCTTTGTATCCGTAGAACAATAAGAGCCGCCATTGTTCACCTGGCACACATATTGGCTAACAAATTCCAGGCGAGAATAACATCAACCTACAGAAAACTCTTCGTCGCCAGTTAATTGACTGCCCTCACCACAGCCGCCCCTTAAGGGTGTCTCAGCTTCTTGTCTCGTGCATGTCCTAGTTAGCTCGACCAAAGCAGCCAAAGGACTCCAGGTACCAACATGAAGCATGGTGTTTTCCTCTTCTTTTCCTGGAGCTACTTCTCCCTCTTCATCTCGATCCCATCACCAGCACTCCATCACACACGGCTTCAAGTGAGGCTGCTAAAACTTGTGTTCCCTCAACCTGGCTTGCTTATTTTGTTTGATCTGTCTCAGATAGGTCTCTCCTCGTTTGGCAAGAACGCATACCTCATCTGCTTGTCGGATATCCCAGTATCATTATTTGGAAGATGATCTGTGGGAGTATAGGATCCTCGAGCCAAGTTATAATAGACCCTCTTCAGTAAAGTGTCCGCGGATTCTGGTGACGCTGTCCTGGATTAACGCTTCAACACCGGCCACCAGAGGCATCTCACAATCGTCCGCATTGTTTCCCGCAGCATCCTCCAGAAGAGGCGCATTTTTGACGATCATTCTTCCATGCTAGAGGACGGCGATGCTCGCTTCTTGAGGTTTGAATCGATATATATTCTACAATCCCATCGGAGCTATGTATGTTGCGAGATGGCTTTGCGATCATGGCATCCTTGAGGTCTTGCGCACGCTTCTGGTAAACGCACAGTGACTTTCAATCTCCTCAGCCAGCCGGCCCATAGTTCGAACTCCGAATGGTTTCGCCAATTAAACCCGAGCATCTTCAGCATCTTCAGCATCTTCGGAAGATTCAATCGTTGTAGTATAACCTGTCCTGGTGCTTCCTCTTCCCATACAGCTCTATCGTAATGGATAGCTCACCGCTATAGCTAAGGACTCATCCTCCTTGACGCGAATCCGTACTCGTATTCCAGATTTTACCTCGCCTTAATTTGAAACCTCGCTTCGACTTGAGGCAAACCCTCGGTGAGAAGCTTAGCCTCAATCTGATGGTTGAACTCGCCTGAAGCATACGCCCAGAATTTCTATCAGAGACTCCGTATTCAAGAAAATACTCAATTTTGTCTGGCGTTTGTCGTTGCATCGTCTCAGAAGCCTTGTGAACATTCTAATCAGAGGCCATAGGACGTGATGTAGGCTTCTTATTCGACTGTCTTTCATTGTCGAATTTGGACAAGCGGAGTTTTGCACCCAATATACTGCGCAAAGGGTTGCCCATCTTGAAGACATCTCATTTCCTGTGCTATGTCAGTATCTAACCGTGAATTGATTCATGGGCAATATCGATGATCCCTCGTTTGCATCTCCAAGTGTAAAGAAGTACTATGGTAGATCAGTGATGGTGGGGCAATCGAAGTAAAGGGTAGATGCGGACAGTCCAGCCACAAACCCCAAGATACAGGTGATCTTCGGTTCGTAACTCTGTTATGAACTCATGTCTTATGGTCATAAATAATGACTGCAATATCTGGTCAGCTTTGGCCAGGTCGCAGTTCCCAGCAACCACTTATCCTCGCTCTACGCAGTCAAATTCCGCAGGATGTAAAGGAGAACTGGCAGTTACCCTGATTTTGCAATCGACCTAGCATACACTTGAAACGTTTTGGAACAGCCTGTCTCTACCTTTATTTAGCAAAGCGAATCAGGCAACAAGATATCCATCCTTGTCTTCAGGAAAGAGTGGATTAATTTGTCTCTACAGTAACTATGCGATTTGCATTATCTGGAAGGTTTGAAAGTTGATATACTACAATTTCTGTTTCCTTTAGCAAGGTACCTTATTTCCATGCGAGAAGTAATCCCACCAGTCCCATAAGAGAGGCGTTCGTTCTCTTACGGTATGTCATCAGCATAGCCACTTGTACCATGCCTGCATTAGCCAGTAAATCGAGCATGAACAATTCAAATTTAGGGCAGAGAATAGATACAGAATACAGAATCTTTTACCCAGAAATATGGTCACTTAAATACTTCACTAATTTGTTTATAAGATTGCACACTCAATCAATGATTCTGTTTTATTATTGATGGAAACATCCAAGTTTACCTAGTAGCATTCTGTAGGCATGGCAATGTAACATAGCCTGCCAAGCCCATAAAGACATAGAAATTGTGGCTCTGTTTCGGCTCCATCCTCTCCCGAGTCCAATGCCATGTGTGCCTGAGTTCCTGAAAACATATATTATTAGTGACAACCGACTACGCCTTCCTGTAGTCGACATCTGTTCCAGCGGCCATCTCACTTCCACCCGTCCATTTCATCGCCGTAATACCTCTAATCATTTCTAAATCAATATCCGCTTCGTCATGGCTACCCAAAGCAGCTTCATGACCGCGATGAGCAATCGCTCGCTCCGCACCATCCGATCGGTATGATGATGCCGCATTGGTTTCTCCATCTTTCCGATGTCAGTCGCACGCCTTGCTAATATATCGTAGGAACTCGAGTTTCTTGCAGATGCTTCGGTTATTACACGTCAGCAACTCTCGTCGATACTGGCTCAGCTGCCTAATGAGCCCCCCCAACAAGCCGCTACACCAGTTCCTCAGCCACAACAGCAACAACCGGTTGTCGCTCAATCTCAACCTCCCCCAGCATCATATGCTCCTCCCACATCGCAGTTTGCCAATAGCTCTCTGAACGAAAAGGCGGCTCTGCAGCAACAACAATACTCGACCCCCTCAGTTCCTCCACCCGCTTATCCTCAAGCTGCGCCCGTATTGTCCGTCGCTACAGCACTCTATGCATATACCCCAACAGATGCTGGTGATCTTGCTCTGCAGCCACACGACCGTGTCCAAGTTTTGGAACACATGAACGCAGATTGTACGTTGGTTTGGAGGCGATGTCAGGGAATTCAAGCTAACAGACATAGGGTGGCGTGGCCGTAACGAACGGACCAACCTCGAGGGTATCTTCCCTCGCAGCTATGTGAACGTAATAGAAGAGAAGGGAGTGTCGTCTCCCCCTCCTAGCAACTATGGAAATGTGCCTCTTGAGGTTAGCCAGAACGGCTCATCTACCCCGGATGGAAAGCGACCCGGGGGCAAATTCGAGGAGCAGGGCAAGAAGTTTGGAAAGAAGATGGGCAATGCCGGTACGTCGATTGTGGCTCCATTGAGGATGTGTTTGTGGTCACTGACTATGTTTTAGCTATTTTTGGTGCCGGTGCTACTATCGGTTCCAACATTGTGAATAGTATCTTCTAGCGTTAATCCCTGAAGTCTTGTTGGGTTTGAGAATGGTTTCTTCCTCAGTCATGGGAACGGCGTTCAGGCGGATTTTTGCTCAACCTATCCTGGGTATTCATAATAGGAAATATCAGAATTTGATAACAATATGTGGACCATGTCGCACAGCATTGATGATATTGCTGCTCAAACGTTGTCTACGCTTGACAATCATAATCACCTGTCAATTACCCCCAACTTTGATCACGACCTCTCTTGTAGGAAATTGACATATTGGGTACGCTATAGCCGCCTCTGTGGTGTAGTTGGTTATCACGTGAGTCTCATATCTTCTATATGATCAGAAGGATCACTTCTGGGACATCTCAAGGTCGGGAGTTCGATCCTCCCCGGAGGCAGTTTGGCTAGGTTTCTTTTGTTTCTCAGCAATTTTTTTTCCCGTTGCGTACGAGCTACGGGAACAATGTCGAATGCTTTGCTTCCTCTCTGCGATGTTGAAATACTTCTGTACACACCAATTTCATACACATTATGCTTATTTATGGTGGTGGCGTAAACGCCATTGTACAATCAACAGTGTTCGAGATGAGAAAATAAGGAAGGAGGAAAGTTTAACTGGGACTGCACTCAATCTTCTCTCCTGTAACTAAGAAGGGAAACTCTTCTGTAATATCCAAATGATAGCCGTGTCAATTCTGACTACAGATTCGGAAATGTTGATTCGGCACTGAGTGTGTCTAAAGAAGTATTGGTATGCGTCTCTAATCCTTTTTGAGTCTCCGAATGAGTGGTAATGATGTCAGCCACGCTAGTCCCAGAAAGGAATAGTACATGACTCCCCTCTAAACTGCGCTGCTCAGGGCTCGAGAAGCTTCTGTGTCATCAGTATAAATTCGGTGGCTCTTGCGGACTCTCTTCCTTCTCAGTCACAACCTCACGCGACCAATCTCTCCGCCACCATCTACTCTACCCCCTCGGGCACTTCTCTCATTCCCAACATCGTCATTTATCTAGTCCTCCATACGTCTCGAGCTACACATCCTTCAAAATGAGCGAATGGGATTCTGTCACACGCATCGGAACCAAGCACCGTGCTGGTGCCGCTCCCCGAGAGACAGTAGTCAAGGGAAAGAGTGCTCTGAACGCTGCTCAGCGCCAAGGTCTCATCATTGGTACTGAGAAGAAGTTCGCAACTGGCAATGCTGTATGTTCTGGATTCACACCCTCTCCATATTGAGGCCCTACTGACATTTTCTGAAGGCCGGAAAGACAGCTGCCATGGAAGGTCAGCACCTGACAAAGGTCGACCGAAGCGACGATATCGTCAAGCCCAAGACTGTCGGTCTTCAGGTCGCAGACGCCATCAAGAAGCGCCGAAACGATGAGGGCTACAAGATGACACAGAAGGAACTCGCCACCAAGTGCAACACCACCATCACAGTCATCCAGGACTTCGAGAGGGGTACGGCCGCGCCCGACCAGAAGGTGCTTAGCGCTATGGAGCGTGTGCTGAACGTCAAGCTCAGAGGTTCTGATATCGGGAAGGAGAAGTTCCCTAAGAAGAAGTAAAACGGGGGTGAGCTCGCGCCTTTTTCTTGGGGAAGATGAAAAACCTAAAGTTCTTGATTTTTCCTGATGTCTTCTTCTTATGTCATGATACGCCTTTCTTCTTCAGTTAGAACCCGTGTCCTTTTTTATCTTTATGTTTTCTGCTGGTCGGAAGAGCGCTGGGCTGGCATTGAAACGATTCATATATCACGACATAAAATACCACTTGCTTTTCGGGCGCTTCTACGGATTCGCTTTGCGTTTTTATCCCCGCTTCTGGACATTCATCTTATAAGAGGAATCTCAAGACATCGACAGGATTGCTGATTGCAAAGTTGGAGGCTTCTCTCGGTTTGCGCGTTGGTTTCGCCTAGTTGTCTATAGAATGTTTCATGGATATAGAACAATAGATGCATTGGCGCCTAGCCTGCTTATCTTTGGACAAATAATTCTAATGTTAGCCTATTGTAACAACCTGTCTGAAACAACACGGTAAATGCTTCAAGGCCCTTGCAAAGGCGCTCACTGAAATGCAGTGCGCCGAGAAAGCTATTGGGGTGATCGCGGAGTAGGGAATAAGAGGTGGCAAACGGACAGGGGTAAATGTGGCCAATGGTGCAGTAAACCCAAGGTTCTCCGGAAAAAGTCTTAAAAGTCAATCGTTTGTGCTATTTCTCTATTGGCAAAAAGTCTGGCTAGCATGCTTAGAGGATTATGAATGGTCAACCCTACATAGTAGAGAGGCAAGCAGGAACTCTAACATAGGTATGAGGATTATGAATCCAGAATTGGTTTATGTTGGTCGAAAAAGTCTATCCATGAATCTTTTTTTTTTGAACGGTAGGTGCTCAATTCTCATGAAGAAGCCAACGTATTGAAGCCATCAAGATCAGGCACCCATCGGCCCTGACGAAGTGATGGGCAACAATATTTCTGACGAGGGTATTTCCTCCGCCCGGGCACATGATTCAGGTGAATTTGGACAGTGAAGGAGAACTGACGGGAAGAAGCAGAAGGGCAATTCTTTTGAGTAAGATGGCAAGAGGACGAGGTAGGATGATGATGGAGAACAAGAAGAAAGAATAGTAAAAGAGGTACCAACTCCGTAGATGAAACGAGAAAAATCATGCCCTGTAATTGACCCCGCCAGGCTATCCATTTCCGCCGCGCCTGGCTTTTCCTCCTTTAATGAGCGAAAAAGCGTTCGTCTCATGACTCATACAGATAATGCATGACCTGAAAAACAAAGAGTTTGTGGATATCATCCGATTCACTTCCTCAGCTGCTCTCTCTCGACCTCGTACATGAAATCAAAGTAGGGCTTGTCAAAGTGATGCACACGGACGTAACCGTCCTCACCACCGGAGGCATATGCTGTGCCGTTGGGGTGGACGTCAACGGTGTTGAGGGGACCGAAGTGGCCTCTGACGCGGCCAATCTCGTCTTCGAAGACCTTGTGGTAGAAACGGGCCTCGAATTTACCCTGCCGGGCGGAGGTGGTTGTGACATCCATAGCAGCCTGGCCACCACCGAGAATCACGTAATCCTTTTTGGGAGTGATGGTGGCGCTGTTCAGGGGAGTATCGGCAACGTATGTTTTGAGGATGGCGAGGTTACGAGAGGAGATGAGCTAGCGATGATCAGCTTTTGACGACATATGGCAGACAGAACGGATAAGAACAAACCTTGGCGGACTTGTCTTTCGAAGCAGTGATGAAGTAAGTACGGTCCTGAGAGAACTGGATGTCGTTGATCTGGTGATCGAACTCGTGCGCCTGAACGTTCTCCAGCTGCTCACCAGTCTGCGCGCAAATTAGCATACTTTTCCAGATTTCAGGAGCAGATATGCCCACCTTTCCATCGTATTGGCTGACACTGCCGTCTTCGTGTCCAGCAATGATGTACTTGCCTAGGTAACTCCAGCCAGCCACGGTGGCCTTGCTCTCTGTGCAGGTGATTCTTAAGCTAGGCTCATCGGCCTGGAGCTCTAGACCACCACCCTGACCGTCTCCATAGCTGATGTCGAGCACAGCGATTGTACCGAGGAATCCCATACGCTTTTCCGTCACAGCCAGGAGCTTGCTTCCATCGGGGTTGAATGCGACCCGCTTCACAGCGGTAGGGAAATCCCAGACCTTCACACACTCGCCAGTCTTGACGTTCCACAGTCGCACAGTGTTGTCTGCCGAGCCGGTCGCCAGGAGAACTGTGTTGGGGCTGACATCGACAGTCCAGATGGCACCCTGGTGGCCATTGTAGGTACCAAGTCGCTCGCCGTTAGCCGACCACCAAGCACATACGATCTTATCCTTCGCCACGGAGAACAGGAGATCGCCATCACGGTTGAATTTGATCTGGTTGAGGGACCGTTCCTGCAGCAAAGATGAAATGTCAGTCGCTGGTTCCAAAAAAGCGGCAAGCAAATCCTGGTGGAGATTTGAGGGCACAACGTACATGGCCCGAGAGCAGAATAGGCCTCATCTTGGGCCAGAAGAAACAATGTCCGGATGTAGAGAAAAAGAATTAAACTTGAATTAAACGTCCTCCGCAACAGGAGTGTCCAGTACTTGCGTTATTTAGGCGGGGATGCTGGCGGGCTGTCCTTGTCGGTGTCGTCGACTAATTATTCTTAGTGAATTTGATCGCACAGTTCAGTCAGGCGTTGCGCGCCAAGACCTTTGCCTATTTGAGGTTGTTTGCCCCTCAATCAAACAATTGTCGGATTGAGGATATTCCGATGTTCGAGCAGCATCTGCCTCAGGCTCTTAATAATCAGTCAGCCCTCATCACCTCTACCAAATCTCTCAAGGTACCTGGAGTTAACTATCTATTCCAGATTGAGTCAAGACCCTGTATCTTACATAACCCTTTTTACTAAGTCAGAGTCAAGCATTTGCATGTGAGGATCTAGCGGGAACAGTACCCAAGGTAGTTATGGAATGACTCAAAACTCAAAAGAGATTTTTCTTGTTTCTCTTAGGGAATGGGAGAAATTGGAAAGTCCAGTTGACTTAACTCAGTGATCGATTGTATAGATGAGCCTATTGTTGGATTTCTTCAATGTTTTTAACTGTGTAATTGTTTATAGGGGTCACTCATTTAATCCCATTCAAGGTGGAGTTAAGTTGTTAACTGCTTTCCCGACGGAAATCTCCTATCGTCACTCGTCCGAGGGCTGCACCTAAAGCCCCCGACAAGCAGCAGTCGATGCCCTGTCACCCCGCTCGTTCGGCGACATTACCCCGCTGTGCTGTGAATTCAAAGATCTTCTCGTGTCATCTTCGCAGTCAGCTTTACTCTTCTTACATCTTCCCATCCGTGACTTCGCCTCTCCTTGGGACTTCCCGACGTCACTTCGCTGGACGTGTGGTGGAATTTTCCTGTCCCAGGACCTTCCCGAGACCATCACTTTCCCGTCGCTCATTATCCAGCACATCTACCGTCATGGGGGCCACAAAGATTGATGGCACGGCCATTGCCAAGAGCATCAGAGAAGGGTTGAAAGCCGAGATTGCAAAGATTCAAGAGTCTAATCCTCGGTTCAAGCCGAGTCTGGTTATCTTTCAGGGTACGTTTAGCTGGACATCATCAACCCGGCCCGGCGGAGGTACTGACATTGCTTCAATTCTAGTTGGCAATCGATCGGATTCGAGTGAGTTTTATGATCTTCGGCGCCTATATATAAGGTGTGTTCTAATTTGCTTCAAGGCACATATGTGCGCATGAAATTGAAGGCCGCTGAAGAGGTATGGATATAAATCTCGTAATCTCTGACTATAACCCCCCTTCGAGCCTTACTGATTCACTGCGTACGTAAAGGCGAACATTCTCTGCAAGATTATCAACTTTCCCGAATCGATCTCTCTACCTGAGATCCTTCAGGAAATCACCAAGGCTAACAACGATCCCTCGGTGCACGGCATCCTCGTTCAACTTCCCCTTCCTAGCCACCTGTCAGAACATACAGTCACGTCTGCGGTTGCGGATGAAAAAGATGTCGATGGTTTCGGCGCAATCAATATTGGAGAGTTGGCCAAAAGAGGTGGCCATCCCCTCTTCGTCCCTTGCACCCCGCTGGCTGTTATGGACCTCCTCAAGGCAAGTGGAGTAGACCCCGCCGGCAAAGAGGCAGTGATTCTTGGCCGTAGTGACATCGTCGGTAGCCCTGTCAGCTACCTTTTGAAGAATGCAGATGCCACCGTGACTGTCTGCCACTCCAAGACGCCAGACATCCCCCGTATCGTGAAGAACGCCGACATTGTCGTTGCAGCTATTGGAAAGGCAGAGTTCGTCAAGGGCGACTGGCTGAAGCCTGGTGCCGTTGTTATCGATGTTGGCATTAATTACAAGCCTGATCCTTCGAAGAAGTCCGGACAGCGTCTCGTCGGAGACGTCGACTTCGAGTCCGCCGTAGAGGTAGCCTCACAGATCACACCGGTTCCCGGAGGTGTGGGCCCCATGACAGTTGCCATGCTGCTGAAGAATGTCGTTACTTCGGCCAAGGCATACTTTGAGAAACAGCGGGATAGACATGTCACTCCGCTTCCCATCACGCTGGTCCGGCCTGTTCCTTCCGACATTGCCATCTCCCGTGCTCAGTACCCCAAGCCGATTACTCAAGTCGCCGCGGAGGTCGGCATTGCTCCCCACGAGCTGGAGCCATACGGTCACACCAAGGCCAAGATCAGTTTAAGTGTTCTGGACCGCTTGGCTCACCGTCGCAACGGACGTTATGTCTTGGTGTGCGGTATTACTCCTACCCCTCTTGGAGAGGGCAAGTCCACGACTACGCTCGGTCTTACTCAAGCGCTGGGCGCACATCTGAACCGGATCGTGTTTGCCAATGTCCGGCAACCGAGTCAGGGTCCCACCTTTGGTATCAAGGGTGGTGCTGCTGGTGGAGGCTACAGCCAGGTCATTCCCATGGACGAGTTCAACCTCCACCTGACCGGTGATATTCACGCGATCACTGCTGCCAACAACCTTCTGGCTGCTGCCATTGAAACTCGCATGTTCCATGA